GCCTAGGACCTGGTCTGCCCGATTTCTTCTCAGCCCCAACTCACTTCCTTCTCCATGCTGATGCTGCTGTAGCTATTCTAAGTATCGTGTTCAGGCAGGATCTCCAGAGGCAGAAGTGGGTCCACTCATTTCTTGTGACTTGAAGAATGAGAAAACCTTTCCTGGAAGATCCTAGCAGCCTCCTCCTTATAACCCATTGTGTCCACAAAGGGCTAGTTTTTGAATTGCCTGAATTGGATTTTTTGGAAGTCAGCTTTCCACTACCTTGTTTTTGGATGTGAGCTATGGTATATACCTCTTGGAGGCCCCATGCTGAAGCACTCAAAGTGAAATTTGCCCAGCACATTAGAGATAAACAACCCATTGTGGTGATAATTACGAAAAAGGCTTAGTAGGCAGTTTCTCTCTGTATGCTACATGGGGTACCAGGAGGTGATAAGGACAGGGCAAATATATCTCTGGTACAATACTTTATTGGGGCAACAGATTTCTTACTCTAAGCAGATCCGCACACATTTTGGAGGAGGCGGTTTAACACAAAGTATCTGGCTCAGTAGCATTTGTCCCGGAAGTTATGGGGCAATTTTTCTGCCTCAAGCATCACAACTTTGGTAAGCTAGCATCCAGGCATAAATGGCATAGACTGTGTGACTTACTTTGCAAGCAGTGTATGTGGCAGTCGATAAAGTGAAAAGTGGGCCCAGCCCAGACATGTATTGTTCTGAGGCAGCCAAAGAATACTTGGACCTGAGGTTGGGCTAGAAAAATGGCTAGACTAGAATAAACTCACTTTACCAGTGAGCCAAGGTATTTTCTGCTTGTAGGAGTAGCCCAGTCTCAAAGTACATGGCTTTCTTGCCCTTCTAAAATTGTTTGTTCCAATGACAGTATTGTGTTGGGTAGGGTACGATGTTTCCCAGGCTATGAAATTCATTGTTTAATCCATGAGAGCATGCTTACCCATCCAGTCTGGCCTCCAGCTATCCATGATGTTACCATGTTGGCCAGATGATATGCCTTTGATAACAAAGAGACCTGGCTGGTTCTCCTTAATGAAGCAAGTATTATGCTTCAAACTATATTCTACAACAGCTACCTCTTCTTGGCATTACAGAGAAGCAGGCCCTATTGCTGATAGGGTGGCAGATAGCTGTGTTGAAAGGTAATTTGAAGTGTCGCAAGAGCATGGCTGGTGGAGGCCTGGGACATCCATAAACTTGGTTCAGTAGAAGCCTTCCAAAAAATTTTAAGTAAAATAGCATCCAAGTAAAGAAAAATGTGCTTCCTAGGCAAACAATGCACTTCTTTAAGCTTGAACTTCACGCTAGAATTGCATAATTCAGATACTCCTAAAATTCAAAGGGCTTCTTATAGGGGCTGCATCAGGTCACAAAATAGATAGTTGTCAACTTCTGTCCAGTTCTGCTATTTAGGCCTTGTTCAGTCAAGTGTTGTTTCTTCCCTGGGTTACTGCCAGCTGCCTTCCAACTCCGTACGCTTGTCAATTCATTTTCCATAGAGCAATAAATGTTCTCGACGTGTAAACAAGATCATGTCCTATCACACTATTGCTTAAAATCCTTTAATGTCTTGCCTTTTCTTAAAATGAAATATGAGCTCTTCTCAATAGCCAACAAAGCCTTGTACAAGCTGGGCTATCTACCTCTCCAAGCTCACCTCATTTATATCTTCCCCTTGCCCCATATGCTCCAGTCACATGATCATCATCCACTCATTCCTGAAAACTAAGGTCATTTTCACAGAATATTTTGTAGAAACTTTTCCTCTACTTAAAATGCATTCCCTTCTTCCCTCTTCCCATTAGTCTTTGAATGTTTGCTTTGTTAGAATTCAGACTGTCAATTCTTTAGAAAGGCTCTTCCTGACCATTCTATATAAAACTAGTCTCTGGTTTATTGCTTGGATAATTTTTATTTTTTTAAATTTATCTGTGTATTTGCCCGTTTTCTTATTTCTACAATAACAATGCAAGTTCCTGAGTGGAAGGGCCATGTCTCCATCATTTTTGTATGTGTGTGTCCCCAGTCTCTGACAAGATGAGACTTATAAGTCATCAAAGAATGTTTATTTAATGAATAAAGGTATCAATAAATCAGCAGAAAAGTAGGAGATAAAAAAAAATCTCACTTCTTTTCAAAAACATCTTCTGACTGTGTTGCCTGGAGCTATGATAGTCTTTTCTCCCTGTTCTCTTTTTTGCATTATTGTCATTGTTAATATTAGCTGATGTTTACAGAGTGCATGTTGTCAGTGTTATTGCAGGGATCAGACATACTTAGAGATGTAAGACATTTTCTCTCCTGATGTCCTAAATGAAGTGTAAATAATCAATGGGGAAAAAGAATGACCACAGAGAACTAGAGGTTAAGGAGATTTTCATAAAAGATCCCTTGGGACTCAAGAGCAACACTGAAGGGGGAGTTAGGAATTAGAAACCATGTAAAGGAAAATAAAGGGCACTCAACACAAAGAAAATGGAAAATTGGAGAGTAACCAGGGTATATGGAATAAGTGAGATTATATTTATATATAGTTTGATTTGACAGCAAATGTTTGGGCAATTCTTGCTGAGTGTATGATTTGTACAATCGTATATCCATTAATTACACACTACTTTTTTTTTTTTTGAGATGGAGTTTCGCTCTTGTTACCCAGGCTGGAGTGCAATGGCACTATCTCGGCTCACCGCAACCTCCGCCCCCGGCTTCAGGCAATTCTCCTGCCTCAGCCTCCTGAGTAGCTGGGATTACAGGCACACACCACCGTTTTATGCCCAGCTAATTTTTTGTAATTTTTAGTAGAGACGGGGTTTCACCATGTTGACCAGGATGGTCTCGATCTGCCGACCTCGTGATCCACCCACCTCGGCCTCCCAAAGTGCTGGGATTACAGGCTTGAGCCACCACGCCCGGCCAATTACACACTACTTTATAAATATCTTCATTTGATATCTTGAACAATAATTTGAATTATTTATCTATATCACAAATATATTTTTCTTTCCAATGAGATTATAAACCTAAGCAGGATTTTTGTCCCATTCATCTTAGCATTTATAGAATTTCAGATTGTCCAAATCAGAAACCACTCTGTCTTCTACTTGAAAATGATGGCTCTCTATGGCATATTAATAAAGGATCATCCAGCCTCTCAAACTTTTCACAGGATTCTCATGAGGCAGCTTGTTTCAATATCAAATAGTTTTTTATTGTAGCAAATTCTTAAATTCCTTTTCAACTTTTCACCACTAATCCTAGTTAAGTCCTCCAAAATTATACCAAACAAAAATTAATCATTTTTTATAAAATAATCCCTTGCATATTTGAAGGCAGAATTATTTTTTGTGTTTTTCTAGGCTAAATCTTATTTTCACTAGCTATTCCTTAAACATATTAGAACTCATGTTTAAATGCACCTATTTTCCCAGACAATTGAATAACTATTTAAGCTCCATAACAGCAAGAACACTGCTTGTTTCATTTACAATGTTTTCATCTCAACTATAATCATGTTGACAAATACTAGGCCATCAAAAACACTTGATAATTTGTGACGGATTAAGATTAAAAGCTTTCACCAGTGCAATAAAGCAAGAAAAATATGTAGCAGGGATCTAGTTAAAAAGGAAGAAGTAAAACTCTATTCACCGACATTACCCTCTGTATAAAAAAAGTATGAAATAGCTAAAAGATACTAGAACAAGCAAGTCAGCAAGGTTGTAGGACACAAAGATCAACTATACAAAAACCCAACTACATTTCTATATACTAGCAGTAAGTAGAAAATTAAAAAACAATTTTAATCTCATCCAAAATATGAGAAACTTAAGAGATATTTGACAAAAGATATGTAAAAATTTGTAACCTGAGAAATATAGAACACTTCTTAGAGATAATTATACAGCATTGTCTAGAGAAAAACTAAGTGAAAAAATAACCATGTTTATGGGTCAGAAGGCTCAGTATTACTAAAAGGTCAATTTTCCTTAACTTGATCTGTAGATTCAATCCTATTACAATCAAAATTCTGGAAGCTTTTCTGAAGAATGTGATGAATTGATTCTAAAAGACATGAAAATATGAAAGAGAGAGAATAGCACAACTTTAAAGAATAAAAATGCTGGGAGGCTAGAAGTACCTAAGTTCAAAACACATAAAAAGATTAGTATAAAGCTAGTCACCAGGACAATATGGAATTGGCTTAAATATAACCAAGTACAAAGGAACAAAATGGAAAATTTAGTACAGACTCATACCTATATAAGCAACAACAAAGGCAAATTCAATGGAGTAGGGATAGTCTTCCTAACGAATTGTGTAATTCATACTTGAACCAAAATCAATAATTATGCCAAGTGAATTACATATTAGTTATATAATATATACCTAATGTAAAATAAAATGTGTGTGATGTAAAATGTAAATGTAAAAATGAAAACTAAGAGCTAGACAATCACATGAGAAAAATCTTTGTTACCTCGTTAGGCTGACTTCATTGATTAGACACTAAAAATATAATACATGAAACAATATTAATGAATTAGACTTCATTAAAATGTCTACTCTTTGACACTGTTTAGAAAATGAAAAGGTAAGACAGATTGGTAGAAAGTATCTGCAAATCAAACACCTGTTAAAGTGATTGTGTTAATACACAAAACTTCAAAAATCCATTGATAATAAAACCCAATAAAATATGGACAAAAAATCTGAATTGACATTTACCAAAAAAGATAAACTAATAGGAAGCACACAAAAAAGGTGCTCATGATCATAAGTAATTAGGGAAACACAAAAATCATAATGAGATACCTTAACACACCTGTTCAAATAGCTAAAATTAAAAAGACTGATCATAGCAAGTATTGGTCCAGATATGGAAGAATTGCAATTCTCAACACTGCTAATGTGAATGTAAAATGGTAGAACCACACTGAAAAATGGTTTTGTAGTTTCTTAAGAAATCAAACATATACATACCATGGTAATCAAGAGAAAGAAAAGTATATCTTCAAATGAAGATTGGATTTTGCATTTTAATGATAAGAGCTTTATTTGCAATGGTTCCAAACTGGAAACAACCCAAATGTTCATTGATTGGTGAATAGTCATATCAGTATAATGGAACACTGTTATGCAATAAATAGAATAAATTATTAGTAGAGAAACATGAATTAACCTCAATCATGCTGAATCAGATAAATTGAAAGAAAAAACATATACTTCAAATGTTCACTTTTATAAAATTCTAGGAAATGCAAACTAATCAATGGTGACAGAGAATAGATGAATGGCTGCCTGAGATGCAGAGTGGGTAACCAGGGAGGGGCAGAAAGAAAGACATGAGTAAACTTTTCCTTGTTATGTATACACACAAATTTTCTTGATTGTGGTGATAATTTCCATTGGTACATAACATACCAAAACTTATAAAAACGTAGACACTAAGTATGTTCAGTGTATTGCAATGACAATTATACCTCAATAAAGCTGTTATATAAATAATATACATTTGAAGTCAGTTATATCTAGATTTAAAAATCATCTTGTTCATTTATGAGCTGTGTGCTTTTGGACAAGTTACATAACCTTTCATTTTTATTTTAAATTGATTATTTTAGAATCCCTTCAAACTTCACAGAAATGATGTGAATATAAGTAACAAGGTGTCTTAGATGGGTAAAAGAGCTCCAATGCTGGTGAAGACGCACAAACTCCACCCTCCCCATTTGAAACTACTAATCTGCAAAGGGACTGAGAAGCTTTTGGCGGGAGTTGGGAATTGAGAGGACACATCTCTGTTCTCCATTCATCTTCTGCCATATTCACATATGTCTGATGGACTGGAAGGATAATGAAAACCCTTAGTGGTGGAAATTTCCAATAGGGAAGGAGGAGACTAGCTGGTGCTGTACAGAGGTCTAATATTTTCCAACTACGGCAATGACAAACAAGCCACAGCTCCAGCTAGCCTAGCTATACTGAAGATAGTTGTGCTCTCTGAGGATGAGACCAAATGTATGTGAAACGAACCTTCCTGCTTATTTTCCTATATAAGCAGATTTATTGTAGCATATCCCAAACTGAATACAGCAGAGATATCTATCTGCCTCTCTATTCACAAAAGCATCACAGGAGCAATCCGGTCTTCAGCACTGAGTGCCACAGTTGTGTTTCATTGGCATTAGGTAGCAAGGAATAACCCGTACTGATCTGACAATGTCAGTGCACTTGGAGATTTCCTCCAAGTAATTAAGTTGTGAATTTTCCTCAGGCAAATGAGTGATATTATATAGGAAAAAGAGATGGGTATTATCTTTAGCAAATTCCATGTGTAGTTATTGCAGGTAACAACTGAGAAACTGAAGTTACAAATAGGAGAAAGAAAAATTACTTTGAAGACTCATGTCCATAGTATGTCATTAGAGAAATACCATATTTCCAAACTTGATGGAAACCTTTCTTTCCTGATCTTACTAAATTCCCTAGCATACCTCAACAATGCAGTTTATTATCATAATCTTGAAACATGTTTTTTCCAAATCCTAAGATAGCTCATAATCCAATTTTTTACCTTTCCATTTACTTTTTTTTTCCTGCCTCTCCATCCTTTTCAAAATATATTTCTCCAACCAAAACTTGTGTCTTAATCTTCACATTTTTGTATTCAACTGTCTACCTAACATCACGACAGTGATATCTCATTATACCACAAATTCAATATATTCTGCTTCCTAACCTTTTCTTCCTTTAGTCTTCATCATTATCACATACCAACCAAGCAGGAATGAGCCAGAGACCTGGGAATAATAGTTCATTTCTAGTCTGTCAGTCTAGAAACCTATGAAATAAGAAAATAAGTTTACTTAACTTGAATTATTCTCAATGAATCCATCTAGTTCTTGTAGCTTCTTTTCCTGAAATTAAAAAGTACTGATATAAGAATCTTCTAGAAAATGTTAAGGGACCCATTGTAAAGTATACAAATATATAGTAAATAGCCTCTCATTCCATTTTCTTGTTTTTCTATTTACTCTCACTGAAACATTTAGTTTTTATTTAGATAATTTTTTATAAATACTGAATGTGTAATGTCACCTATATTGAATTTTGAAGCATTTGTGATCTCCTGAGGCATTTCCCTTTATCTCCTATCCTGCACTGGTAAACTTGATAAACCTAACTAGCCAAGACTGTCATTTCATTCCCAGAGGTAGCATTACTTTTTAGTCAGTGTGGCCACTGGGGAGTGAACCAGGATAAATGGGATTAAAATGAAACAATAGGAGGTTCAGGTTAAACACTAAAAGAAACGTGTCGAGAAAAGGTCACTTAGACATAGGAACAATTCCCCTTGAGAATGTAGAAATATCTTCATTGTAAGTTTTCCTTTTTTTTCCTAATGCAGTTAGACTAAAGTTCAAGAGTCATTACCTCACATTTCACAGTAGGCAATCCAGTTTTTTTCCCCCCTATATTAAGGAAGAGTTGAAAGCGGGAATCCATACTACCTGGGCATGATACTTAACACCGTATAGAAAGGAAGCATTTCATGGCCCTTCCTATGAAATTCCCCCTTCTATTCTCCTCAGGAATTAACTTGTGACTCTGGAGAGTAAGGTTTAAAACCAGAGTTGTTACCAGTGATAAAACTCATACCTCTTTTGAATTGATTTAAACATTTGTTTAGAAGGGATTCGTTTGAAGCTATTACTCTATGACTGTTTTAAAAAAACCTAGTGGAGTCATCTGTATATATTTGGCATTTAGTTTCTGTTAATAATGCTGTTAAATGAAGTTAGTTTTCTAATGAGTGAAACAATGAAATTAAATCTCTTTTCCCCACAGGCATTCCTCCAGCAGAATCATAGTTTCTATCAGTCAAGGGATGTATAATCGGAGAACTCTGCATGCAAAAAGGCCGAGCTCTATTTTGTGGTAGACTAAGAAGTGGGAAACAGAACTTACTTTATCATGCACACTCATTCTTTTTTTATTATTTATTTTATTATTTTTTATTGCATTTTAGGTTTTGGGGTACATGTGCAGAACATGCAAGACAGTTGCATAGGTACACACATGGCAGTGTGTTTTGCTGCCTTCCTTCCCTTCACCCACATTTGGCATTTCTCCCCAAGCCATCCCTCCCCAGCTCCCCACCGCTGTTCCTTCCCTATTCCCCCCAATAGACCCCAGTGTGTAGTACTCCCTTCCCTGTGTCCATGTGTTCTCATTTTTCATCACCCGCCTATGAGTGAAAATATGCGGTATTTCATTTTCTGTTCTTGTGTCAGTTTGCTGAGAATGATGTTCTCTAGATGCACACTCATTCTTTTCCACCTTCACTGGTCAGAGGCCCCATGAAAGTCAGACAAATCAAATGCATTCTTAATTGTTTTTTTAACTCACCAATTTTTAATTTTGGTGTCACTTCTATTGACACATAATTGTTATTGAGGGCTAATGACATTAGTTTTAGAATAATGTATATATCACTATGACATAAACAAATGAACATACTTAATAAACTTCTAAGCATAGTGCAATTTCCCAGCCTTCACTGGTTCTATCTCTGGATTTGCAATGATTTCATTGGAGGAGGTGATGCAGGGGAATGGAGTCCTTCTTTATGATTTTTATAGATGTTGAATGGCTCCAAAGGAAAGGTGACATACCAGTTGCCTGTAGGCAGGATTGAGTCTGCAGATATATTTTACGTAGTTCTTATAATTCTGTCAAGAAATTTGATGGAAAGCTTTGGTTCTTTTGGTAGGAGTTTAGGACATTAATTCTTTATTGAAACATTCTGATAATCTTTCTCTAACAATAGTGACTGGATTGTCAATATAGATTTTTACAAAAGGCAGGATTACAAAATAGTATTCATATTTTGAACTGGTTACAATATAATCCTAAGTTCTCTATCACCATCTATATTTTCTCCCTTTTTTACTTCATAATATAAATTTATCACTGTTCTTTCTAACTGGTTAGTCTTGCTCCTTAAATCTCAGTTACTCCCTGTCATGCCAGCTACTTTCCTTCCTTTACTAAGAAGAATGATGGTATTTTTTGGTGAGTTTATTCAACTTTCCTCTTCTCTACTATATCATTTCTCTGTTTCTTTAAAATTTGTTTTACCCTCTTTTATATGATTTCTTTAATTTGACATTCATGCTCATAATTTTTCTATTGGTTTGGTTTTTTAAGTTTATCCCATCTCATTAATTAATTTAAAAGAAAAAATGGGCACCTATCTGTATGTGTAAGTTTCATCAATTGCCAAATTCTATGTATTTGTGACTATATTAGTCTGTTCTGATGCTGTTGATAAAGACATACCTGCAACTGTATAGAAAAAGAACTTTAATTGGACTTACAGTTCCATATGGGTGGAAGGACTCAGAATCATGGCAGGAGGCAAAAGGCAGTTCTTACCTGATGGCAGCAAGAGAAAATGAAGAAGATGCAAAAGCAGAAACCCCTGATAAAACCATCAGATTTTGTAACACTTATTCACTACCACAAGAACAATATGGGTGAAACCACCACGATTCAAATTATCTCCCACCAGGTCCCTCCCACAACATAGAATTATGGGAGTGCAATTCAAGATGAGATTTGGGTGCAGACACAAGCCAAACCATATCATTCTGCCCCTGGTGCTTCAAAATCTCATGTCTTTACATTTCAAAACCAATCATGCCTTCCCAACAGTCCCTCAAAGTCTTAACTCATTTCAGCATTAACCCAAAAGTCCACAGTCCAAAGTCTCATCTGAGACAAGGCAAGTCCCTTTTGCCTATGAGCCTGTAAAATCAAAAGCAAGCTAGTTACTTCCTAGTTACAACGGCGTTAGGTAAATACAGCCATTCCAAATGAGAGAATTTGGCCAAAACAAAAAGGTTACAGGACCCATGCAATTCTTAAAATCCAGTGGAGCAGTCAAATTTTAAAGCTCCAAAATGATCTCCTTTAACTCCAAGTCTCACAGCCAGGTCACACTGATATAAGAGGTGGGTTCCCATGGTCTTGGGCAGCTTCACCTCACGCTTTGCATATTTTGGGCTTTGCAGGGTACAGTTTCCTTCCCAGCTGCTTTCACAGGCTGGCACTGAGTGTCTGCATCTTTTTCAGGTACACAATGCAGGCTGCCAGTGGATTTAACATTCTGGAGTCTGGAGGATGGTAGCCCTGTTCTCACAGCTCCACTAGGAAATGTCCCAGTATAGACTCCGGCAGGGGGCTTTGACTCCCCACTTTCCTTCTGCACTGCCCTGGCAGAGGTTCTCCATGATGGCCCCGACCCTGAAGCAAACTTCTGCCTGGGCAGCCAGGCATTTCCAAACATCTGCTGAAATATAGGCAGAGGTTTCCAGACTCCAATTCTTGACTTCAGTGCACTTGCAGGCTCAACACCATGTGGAAGCTGCCAAAGCTTGGCGCTTGCACCCTCTTAAACTATGGCCTTGAGCTCTATGTTGACCTCTTTCAGCCACAGCTGGAGCAGTTGTGAGGCAAGGCATCAAGTCCTTAGGCTGCACACAGGACATCATGAGAACCCTGGGTTGTTAAATCATTTTCTCCTTGGTCTCCAGGCCTGTGATAGGAGGGGCTGGTGTGAAGACCTCTGACATGCCCTAGAGTCATTTTCCCCATTATCTTGGGGATTAACAATTGGCTCCTTATGCAAAGTTCTGCAGATGGCTTGAATATCTTCTCAGAAAATGAGTTTTTCTTTTCTATCACATTTGTCAGGCTGCAAATTTTCTGAACTTTTAGTCTTTCCTTTCCTTATAAAACTGAATGCCTTTAACCACACCCAAGTCACCTCTTGAATGCTTTGATGCTTAAAAATTTCTTTCACCAGATACCCTAAATCATCTCTTTCTCAAGATCAAAGTTTCATAAATCTCTAGGGCAGGGGCAAAATCTCAGCAGTCTTTTTGCTAAAACATAACAAGCACCATTGCTTCAGTTCTCAACAAGTTCCTTATGTGAGTTCACCTCAGCTTGGACCTTATCATCCATATTGCTATCAGGCTTTTTTGGTCAAAGCCATTCAACAAATCTCTAAGAAGTTCCAAACTTCCCCACATTTTCCTGTCTTCTTCTGAATCCTCCAAATAGTTCCATCCTCTGCCTTACACTTAGTTCCAAAGTCATTTCCACATTTTCAGGTATCTTTAACAGCAATTCCACTCTGCTGTTACCAATTTACCATATTAGTCCATTTTCACACTGCTGAGAAAGACATACCTGAGACTGGGTAGAAAAAGAGGTTTAATTGGACTTACAGTTCCACGTGGCTGGGAAGACTCAGAATCATGACGGAAGGTGAAAAGCACTTCTCATGTTGCAACAGCAAGAAAAAACAAAGATGCAAAAGCAGAAACCCCTGATAAAACCATAAGATCTCATGAGACTTATTCACTACCATGAGAACAGGATGGAGGGAACTGCCCTTATGATTCAAATGATCTCCCATTGGGTCCCTCCCACAACACATGGGAACTATGAGAGTACAACTTAAGGTGAGATTTGGGTAGGGACACAGAACCAAACCATATCACTGACTAAGACAAAATCAAGGTCTTACTGACAATGGAAAAAACTTTTTGTAACCATTAATTATAATTTGAAATACTTATAAAGAACTTCAAGAAAAGAAAAAGAAGAACTTCAATGAACTATGAGAATACAGAGGAGAGTAAAGGGATTAATTTTGCCTATAATGTGAAATGTAAGGAGCTTGATCTGGAGGATAAGAGACTCAATGGGAACATCTAAGAGAGCATCTAAGAGATAAACCTCAAAGTGTGTTTCCTGATGAAACTTAACTTTAGAATTCTGCTCTTGCATGGATCTCTTCCAATGTGTTCCTATGGTCATATGTTTTTTGTACTAATATACAAAA